ATTCTATAATTCTAATAGAGTTATAAGCCCTTATAGGAATAATCTTAACCTTAGTTCCTATAGTATTTATAAGCTAAGCAAACTTCTTACTAGTAAACTGCTTTCCGGTATCTGCTATAATCTAATCGGAAGGGCCTAAGTAGTTATTAATCTAGTACTATTTGAGTATATCCCAGATATATATTATACTAATATTCTAGAGCTATTAGCCGGCTTAATATCGAGTGCCTTTATTAATAATATAAAGTATAGGCTTACCGGAAATATAGAAAATATTAATAATAATAAAATAATTAAAGCTAATATTATCTCTTAGATTAAACTTGAATTATCCGAATAATTAGCCGTATTTCTAGTATTACTTATAGTACTTTATAAGGTACTTAAGGGCTTTTATATTAATATTATAGCCTGCTTATTCTAGTATATTTCGGAGCTTACTAATAGATAGATAACTAAAATAATAGTATAGATATTATAATTCGATTTCTATAAGAAAATAGGGGTTATAAATAAAGAATTCGGAAATAAAGCTTTATAGTATAGTATTCCAAAGCAGGAAAGAGTATCCGAAATATTATACTATAAGTATATATTCTCTAGTAAAAGTAATAAGATAATTAGTAAGATTATTAAAATAGATCCCTAGCTTGTTTATATTAGCCAAACTAAGCAAAAATAGAGTCTTTAAAGGTATAATATAGAATTATATTTGCCTAATTAGTATACTTACTATTATAGATCTAATAGAAGATATAGATCTAATACCAAACTAGATATTAACTTGACCTTTAGTAGTTTTATTAAGTTTAATACTATTATTAGTTTACTAGAGAGCTTGGAATTAGTTAGAACTAGTAGTTAAGTATCTAGAGGCTCCGGTATTAATTATAACTCTATAAAAATAGTAAGTATTATATCTTAATATATTATTAACTATAAAAGTCTGGGTATCTTTTATTAAAGATTTAATAGACTTTAATATATAGTTTTTATCTATTATCTAGTATATAAGGGAAAGGGAAATAAGGTTATCTATAAGAGTATTAGCTATAGTTATTAGTAAAGTAGAAGTAGTAGGAGTAGCTAAAAAGCTTTTAACTAAAGTAAAATAGGAATCTGAATAGTATTTCTTTTCTTTATCTGTTTCTACTAATAAAGCCTCAAAAGTATTATTTACTAGTTTATCCTTACTATTCTTATTATTCTTTTTATCTTTAACTTTAGTAATATACTATATATAAGTACTACTAAAGCGTTTATTAAAGTTACAGGTATTTCGGAATCTGAACTAATAGATATTTCTATTCCTAAATCGAGCCTTCTTAGCCTCTTATTTCTCTAGTATATGTTTCTATAAGCGGTATTCGGGCTTCTTATATATAAAATATAATTTCGGGATATAATTATTATAATTATAAGGCTTAAAGTAGTTATTATAGATTCTGAAGTTATAGCTAGGTTTGAATTAATAATTTCCGGAGAAATAATAGCTTAGAGAGTTCTAAAAGTAATATTATTAATTAGTAAAGAAGGTTTCGGGATTGGCTTATTATTTGCTTTTATATATAGTAATAGATAACTAGAGCTTATTAATAAGCTAGCTGAGATTTATAAGAAAGTCTGAAATTATATATCTATATATCCGGAAGCCTTAGTAAGAGGTAATGATTTTATTATAAAGGAATTCGGTAGTTTACAAGTTAAATATAAAACTATACTATAGTTAATATAGTTTATTAATTAGTAGTTAAATAGTCTCAAATATTATTTTTTCCGGGAATTTAGCTATTATAGAAGCTAATATAGTAGTATTTCATATAACTAAATTTCGATATTTGAATTTAGGGCCTTTAAAGAAGCTATAGATATTAATATAAGCTTTTTTATATATATATTAAAAGAGCTAGTTATTATAGAAGTAGTCTTAAATTAGTCTCTTTAGTATAGTAGGAAAAGCTTGTATTAGTACCTCTTATAGAAGCTCTATATATTAGTAAATATTAAGGAAAATAATAAGTTTATAATTAAAATTACTATTAGATCCATTATACTTTTACTTTTTAGTATAGATTTTAGTAATTTCCCTAATAAGTCTTATAGTCAAAAGAAATTAGGAGTTATTCGGATATAGTTATAATAGTAATAATAGGGCTAATAGGAATATACTATTTGCTCTTGAAGCTTCTATACTAGTATATAAATCTGGTAGAGGTATAGGATATAGTAGTAGAGGAGATAGTAAAGGAAATAATAATATAGGAATATTAAAGATAATAGGTTCTAGATACTTGTTCTTTATAAGAATAATAAAGCCTAATAGGATTGGTCTCTTAATAAGATCTAGTCTGGCTACTAATATATTCTTATTTAACTATATATATTATATATTCTCCTTTATAATAGTATATAGGGTATTTGTAATAGTATTACTATTACTATTCTATTATATAAATATACTATTATACTAAAAGGTCTTATATAGGTATAGTATTTCCGGAAGTTCAAATTTATTAAAGTTCCCTTAATAAGTGAAATTCTTGAAATTATATCTAAATAGCTTCCAAAGGTTATTATTAACTATTTTATAGAAAATATATTAAAATAGCTTAGTATCTAAGAACTCAGTTATCTTATTTGCTTTAGTAAAGTTCAGGTTAATTCCATATCTCTACTTTCTTACTAATTCCTTATAATTATTATTATCTATAGAATAATTAAATTAGATAGATCTGATAAAGGAATTGTCTACTATAGTAGGTTCTACTATTATATATTCTATAGGTTTATACCTAGTTTGAGGTATAGTAATTTATAAGAAGGATAGATTTATAGAAAGAAAGGTAATTCGTAAGGTAGGTGGTTTATAGAAGGTATTATTTTCGAGGTAAAAATTTTATTTATAATAAGAAATTTAGGAAATGAAATTTAAAGAGTAAAATATTAAGATTCCGGAAGAACTTGACGGTTCTAAAGCTTAAGAGCCCCAGGGGTTCAAAAGAAGGTGGTTTTTGAGAGGATTTTATAAGAGTTAAATGGGAATAGAGTAGAATAGTTAAATAGCTAACCGTTTTGGTATTTGGCAAGATTAAATACCCTTCCTGCCTATATAACCGAATTACAGGTAATAGAACTGACAGATATTCCCCCCTTTAATATAGTATAATCGGATCTTAGCAAGATCAAGTATCTTTCCTACCTATATAACCGAATTACAGGTAACAGGATTAATAGTTGTCCCCTCTTCGACTGGAATAATGGCTTTGCCCCTAAGCAACCAAATCTTAGGCAAGCGCAGCTTAATCCTTCTCTAATCTATAAGTACTAATAGACCTTATTCTAATCTGAATGCAAACTAATTAGTATCGGTTTACCAGGAACGTATAGTACTATTATGTAATTATAGAATACTATTTGCATAAAGTTAGTAAAGTTATTATTCAGAAGTAAGGATTACAGTATTATAGTATTAATATACAATTCCTAAATCTGCTAAGCCTAATGGGGACTAGCTACCGGTCGAGTTACTAATGGGACGCGAGGTCACATGACCATGTCCCGTGTCCCGTGTCCCGTGACTATACACGTGACTCCCAAGGGAACAGCTGTACCAATATATAGAAACTATAGAAATAGTTTCTATTAATTAGTTAATATCTAAAATATAAACTAAAATATAATTTTCAAAGAAATAAATTAAATAAACTCTTAAATACTTTCTATAATATACTAATTAGGAAGTTTATTAGTATAAGGCCGGGCTTATAACTAATATATATAAAGATTATAAAATAGAGAGTTATATTAAATAGTAAAAGAGTTAATTAAACTAGTTAGAAAAGAGTTTAAGTAAAGTATAAAGCTTTAAAAAGTAAATATATAGATTCTAATTAAATAAGGCAATTATACTAGACCCAATTTAGTAATTCTTACTATAATAGTAAGTAAATTAAACTTTAGTAATACTTTAAGTTTATTATTATAGAAAATTAGTATTTAAGTACCTTTATATAAGCTTATTTAATAAATATCTTATTTAATAAATATCTTATTTAATAAATATCTTATTTAATAAATATCTTATTTAATAAATATCTTATTTACTTATTTAATAAATATCTTATTTAATAAATATCTTATTTAATAAATATCTTATTTAATAAATATCTTATTTATTTTTTTAAAATTAAAATATATATTAATTTATAATAATCCTGTAACTTATATATAACTATTTATAGTTATTTATATTATTTATAAATAATTATTCTATTTTATTCAAGTTTTTTAAGCTACTTATTACTTATATTTTATTTAAGTTATTTATAAATATTTATAAATAACTTAAATAATTCTTTAATATACTAATTACTTATATTAGAATTAATTTAGTTAACTTCTTTTATAAAAATAGCTTTAATAAAAAGTTGTATATTTTATAGATTTAGAAATATAATTATTTATTAATAAGTAATAAGATAATAAAATAAATTAATAAGTTATAAAATTATAAAATTGAATTTAGTATAGAACTAATCTATATTTCTTTTATAAAATCCAGAAAAACTTTCTTTAAATAAAAGCTTTTAATAATTTATATATTTAATAATTTATAAATATAAATAATAGTATAATTATAATATTAAAGAACTATTAATTTCCCTAATTAATACTTATAATATTCGAGATTTATTATATATTCTTTAGTTATATATAATCTTTATAAATATTTTTATTAATTCTATAATACTTGTATTTAAGTAAGCTTACTAAATAAAGACAAACCCTTTTAATTAATTATATATATATAATATTAGAAGAAACTAAGAAATTAAATAAAGAAATAAAAAAGGCAAGAGAGAATATAAATAGTAGAATTAGTAGGAGAAAGATAATTTTATATTATATATTGTTCAAATTAGTAATATTAATTAATTTAATAGCTCAAAATGCAGATTTCGTATTATTAGATTAATAAGAGATTATATCCTCAATTGCGCATTAAATTAAGGGTTATTTGGTTGTATGGTATAATACAGGTATCCGCGATTGCATAGTAATTTTGGTGTGGTGCGGGACAACTCGCTTTCCCCGACTAAAGGGTAGAGTCCCTTTAGTCGCGACGTTAAGTCCGACTATTATCTGTTCCGGCTTGGGGAAGCTTGCAAGTGTTTGTTGGATTTCCTCAATTATTTACTGTAGACGGAAGTCCTCAAGCTCGAAGTTTCGCAGCCTCGATTGCTCCATTGCCTCCCCATCCATTATTCCGTGAACGTAGCACGGTCCGATAAGCTCATATAGATCCTCGCGTGGTCGTAAGACAAACGGAGTCTGTCCGCCTAAGAGGACACAGATCAAGTCCGCCTCCTCTGCACTTTGCGGGGCGAGTCCCATGTACCCCCCGTCCGACACCAGGAATCTGCGGCCGCTCGAAGCCTCGTCAAGAGAACGCACAAATGGAGTGGCATAGTTAATGTACTGTGTTGGCAAGTCTTCCGGATCGATGACAGATGCGAGATCCGTACGTCCAGACCAAACTTCGAATTGCTTGAAAATTTCATCGGGTGCTTTTCGCTGTCCCAAGAAAGCATCCGCGGTCAGAGTGCGCCAGAATGCGTCCAGTCGTCCCGTTTTGCCCAGGTAGGGGCATAGCGTTACAGGCTCCTCCAAAGCTCGCTCTTCCCATCGCTGTATCACGGTCAAATGCTGGTTTGCTTCATTGAAATCGTTGCCGAAGAGACTGCCCAGATCTTCGAGAACTTCTTCCAAGTGCTGCAGAGTTCCAAACACGAATCCTTCCAGTGTCAAGATCTGAAAGTCCGGCGAGAACGAGAAGTTAGGCGTCGAAGTTCCACTAGCGGAGTAGAAGTTGGCTTCTCCATTCATGGTCAATATCTCCTGGAACGGAGTAGCAGTCACTTTCATCCTCCAATCTGGAGTCCAAGAAGGAAATGTCACCTTGCGATCCGATCCATCGAGTAGTCCCATGCCCAAAACGTGTCCGAGAACATCCAAATTCCGATGTTGACTTATCATGACACGGACTACTCTCTTATAGAGATCTTCGAGTTCCAAGCTGTAATTGGCGTCTAAATCACTGCCATCAATGTCTATGGCAAGCCCAAGAAGGGCGAAGACTTTATCCCGAGGGTCAGTAGCTCCGCAGTACCGAAACGTGGATAAGTAGTCCAGAAGACCTACACACCGCCGTTCTTGAGTTGAGTACGGCCCCCAGACACTTAGCATATCAGCAACACACGGGTGGTATCCCCAGGTCAAGTCGTCTTCTTGGGGGACGACGTTGGCCCGCATTGTCTCCCATGACGCCGAGTGACTTCCGCAAATAAAGGTGGCTTGCCGCGAGCGGGCGAGCTCTTGAACAACCCAGATTCTTTTCCACCAAGGACGATTGAAGAGATCACCGAAGGCCTCGATGGCTCGATCATTCCGACTTTCTTCGAGAGATTCGGGTTCAATTTCCTCGGTCCAATCCTCCTCCTCTGGCCCCTGAGATGTTTCCCGTTCTATTGCTCTTTCCGCATCCACCTCATCTTCTCCCCTAAATCCGCACTCCTCCTCATCCTCGCCCATCAACGGCAGTGCCTCGATTACTTTCCGAGTGGGCGGATCAAACGCTTGCATGAGTTGGGCTTGTTGTTCCAAGACGTGCACCACCCGGGGTTCCAAAGCGATGTTTGGCCTTGGGTCTCGTAAGATGCGGTTTAGCTTTGTAATCCTACCTCCTAGAACCCTGGACTTCACACTGGCAGATCTCGTCCGTCTCGATATTGAGCCTTTGCGATCTAATAATAGCCAGTGTTGCAGCATGGCCTCGCCCCTTTTCTGCACACTCGGCACCAGTGCTTCCGCAAGACTTTCCCCATCGGCTCTCTTAATCATGAGTTCAAAAGCCAAACCAGTGTCCTGAATCTCGTCACCAAGCCAGACCAGAACACGTCTTGCTCTTTGATATATCTTCCCCATGACTTGGACTTGACGGGCGCGTTCTTTTGGGTTGGCTTGGTCGATACATATTGCATCGATCCACAGCGTTCGGTCCCGGTCCTCGAGGCGAAGGTGCCGAAGGGCCGACTCAAGGTTCTCCGTAACTTGGAAGGTTGTAACATCCAGCGATATTGGTAAGGTTGCTTTTGGGTCTCCCCAGAAGTACGACAGCGCTTCATACGAGGAGGCGGCGTGTGCCAGAAACGCGTGGTCAAGGCTGCAGCAGATACGTTCTTGGCCGGAGCCGGGGAGGAGACGAACCAACCTTATTTCCTGCGCAACCTCGTCCAACGGTTTGTATTCGAACGAATTGGATGTCTGATCCATCGCCAGAAGCACAATAAGGCAACGCGACGAGGTAATACCCGGACGGGTTGAACACCCCTGGTGCCCGGCACGCTGAGATTTGCAAGACTTGCGCTTTCTTCCCGCAGTGGAGAAAACAGACGCAAACTATTTGGTTCCTAAGAGACGTTGATGATTGAGCCAGCTGCGCTTCTTAACTTTGGAGCTGTTGATGGTACTTCAGGAGGTTGTCGGTTTCTGTGTTGGAAATTAGTGCCTAAGGCTACCAGTGGCAATTCAGCTAGAAGGGTTCACCCACCAACCGCCCAAACCCACTTCCCGCCCAAGCAAAAAATCGATTTTTCTCTCACCGTTTATAATACTAATAATTAACAAAAATTGATAAAAATTGATTTCTGTTATTCACTAATACTGTTTCTCTTAATTATAGGAATTTATATAAAAGGACTTATTTTAATTATTCCTTTATATTGCTTTAAAATTCTTAAAATATAAATAAAAGCTTAATTTTATAAGTAAAATTAATAATAATCTTTACTTGAAAAGATGAAATTGTGATTAAAGAGTATATTTGTTAACTAAAACTTAACAAAGTATAAAATTATATTAATAATTGATAAATTAATATTAAAGTCGAATTTTGGCTTGGGCGGGAAGTAGGTTTGGGCGGTTGGTGGGTGAACCCTTCTATGCAGGGGCATTCAGCTGTGCAAGGGTGTTTAGCTATGCAGGGCATTCAGCTAAACATGGGTTTACAGCTAAATAGGAGTAATAAGGGGCTATTTGGACGTATATAAGTATAGGCCTTAGATTACTGCAAAATGGACAGTCGTCTGAGAAGCATTGCACGTGACTTTTGCTTTGAATTCTCAACATTCTGGAGTAGCCTTGTGGAGGCACGTGTTCGGTGAGGCCTGGAAGATATCAAATGTCTACGGTGAACTAATCTTTTCCAACGCGCGAAAATGGAAGGTTACCACTAAAATTTTGAAATTGACAGCCGAATTAACTATAAGTATAAATCGAATTCGTTAATATAGAGGCTATTGTAGAAGCACTTTCCAAAAAAAAAATAGGGTTAGCTGAATGACAAACTCGGTTCACTCTCAGGATCGGCGAGCGGACGTATCTCGTTGATATGAGGATAATTTGAGATGGCGTACTATGGATGATACAGTGCTTGCAATGTTCCACGATAGAGGATAATAGCAGTGATTATTTTCACTACAAACATATCGATTGAAGAACCACTTGCAACGACTTGATTTCCGTTGAAATAAAATCCCAAAGCGTGAATCCTCACGCGCTTGGTATTGTCATGGGAAAGTATCAGTATCTCAAGCAATATCTTCCACCGCATCCAAGCATTTCTGCAAATTATCTGCTTCCGCTTGTAGCTCCTTCATCTCCGCTTTTCTCTCTTCAGAATCAGGGTCAAATAGCAGTGCATCCCATTTCTTCGGGTCCGCCCTCTCCAGATCCAATATCTCGTCGAAGATCTCGTCGAAATTCCTCAAAAGATGCCGTTCCACAACTTGCACCACAACATTATCAACGAAAACATTCGCAGCAATCTATTTCATATCAGTACTTGTTCTTAATTATTCTTTAGCGGTATACATACGTCATAGAAAATATGTAACCGAGCCAGCAAATCTGCCGCTTGAGCTAGTCGCCTCTTATTACTATTATCCAGATCAAGCAATTCAGTGATCTGTGCCGGGATGTTGATGAGTGGAGACTCCGCTTTCCTGAGGGCTTTCGTCATCATGGAATGTAACTTCTTGGCATACTCCTGCTGGATCTTCTCGGCAAAGGCATCGTTTCGCGTCTTCGCAGGCCGCGTTCGATCCTTCTCGAGCTCGGCGAGCTCGATCAACGCATGCTGCTTTCTTTCGTCTAGCAGTTTTGCGACCACTTTTCCATAAAGGCGCCGAGCGATGTGTGGAAGGTCTGGACTCAAGACATCGACCATTAGTTTGTCGAGGAACGTTTTGCAGTGAGCGTGTGCTTGTGCGATCAAGCGCTCTCCAATCTTCTGCCAGTCGCGAGAGAGCTTGTGGAAGAGAAGATCGAGTCGCTGAGGATCGTAGATGTCTTCTGCTTCGTGGCCCCGCGTATGCTTGAGAACCTTTGCAACCCGTTCTAGGAACTGGTTCATCTCCTCTGCTGACGGCGAATCATCCGGGTTCCATGTATACAGGAAAGTACGACCTTCGATCTTGACTTTCTGGTGAAATTGGTCTTCCTCACCTTCGATACGTGCTCGGAGATAGCGGGCATCATCGGCTAGGGTGTCAACATTGTCGGGTAATTCAAAGTAACCGTCATTCAATTTGCCTTCCACGGCCAGCAGTGTGAGATTCCGCATGTCTCGGCACTTCTTGCGGAAGAGATGATCAGCTTCTTCTTTGCTTCTCAAGCTGGCTGCCAGTCTGTCCAGTTTCTCGTGATACGGCGTTAACCGATCCTCGATATCGCGCTTCAAGGAAGAACTTTCTCTCCGCAGGAGGTCGACGAGCAGACGCACAAGGTGGCCTTTCAGGTTCTCTGCCCCCCAGTTCTCAGGCGGCACTTCGTTCCAAAGATTGTCTGGACGCTCGAAGAAGACCTTTTCTTTCAGGTCTCTCTCCTCGCTCGAGGTGTTTCTCTTGACTTCATCCTCTGACCTGTTCAAGAGTACATGCCAGCCTTTCTTGAATATAAACCCTTCTCCTTTGTTCTGAGCGATCTTGATCCAGTTTCGTTGAGATCCCGAGCCAGGGTCCGGTTTGTCCGGCTTCGTGATGATTCCGAAAGTGCGAACGCCGTGGGGATCAGCATCCCTCGCCATGCGGAAAATCGACTGATTGACAGGTTCGTCATGGGCGCCAAGAACCGCTAGGATAATTGAGCGAGGATTGTTGATATATTTTTCTGTCATTCCCGTAATGGTTTCTCTGAGGTTCTGTTCCCCGGTCTGCACTAGACCTGGAACATCGATGAGAGTAAGACGTGGTTGATCAGGGCCGTGAACCTCGATTCTCAAACAGTCTTCCGTGAATGTGGCCTTTCCAGGGGCGTGCCTTGGCAAGCCCATCTTCCTTTCGGCAGAATCCATCAGTCGTGGCAGTTCTTCCAATGTTCCTGCGGTCTCGCGGAACGCCATCAGGTCGTCCTGTCCCCTCTGTGGCCGTGAAGACTTCGGCGAGATAGTGACATTGATAAAGATTGTATCGGAAGTCCGAAGACAGATTCTAAAGAGGTTAACATAACAATCCACCGTCGGCTATTGAAACAACTTACTCGGTCACGTATCGGGTACAAACATTGTCTCCTCGCGGAAACTTGATGTGGCTGACAGCTTCGAGGACGGAACTCTTTCCAGCGGAGGTATTCCCGCATACCACAATCTGTGGAATCTGGAGGACATGATCGATATCATACTTCCTCACTTCATCGATGATATCCAATAGTCTTCTGTACTCCTTGGTTTGGTAGGAGCCAAGATGGGCTGAGACTCCAGAAAGGGGAATATTTTCCGTATGGGACGTTTCTTCGGATGTGTCACCGCTGTCATCGGCATCCAGAAAATCTCCATTGTCAGACGTGTTGGAAGACAGACCGCCTGGTATAGAGAGGCCTCGTGCACCTGCAGCGCGGAAGTTTCGATTCATCATGGGAGAAATCAAGGTATTCGGATGCTCGTCTCGAGTTATTTTTTTGGTGAGCAGGATGACCCAGAGCCTTGAAGCAGCTTGTGAAAAGGTCATATACCAGCTTCAGCAGTCTGTTAAGGCATAGTAGTCCAGCCTCGCCCTGAGTGGGAACCTAAATTGCGTAACGCAACATTGAGGATACGTCTGTTGTGTTGGTAGGTTTTGCCAAAAATGTGTCAGGCTCCCGGGAGGGCGAACCCAAGTGAAGTACAGAACGCGTAAGCCCGCTTCCAAGAGAAACATCGAGGCTGCAAGTAATTTGAAGATGGTGTCCAACGCCGCCAGTCGCATGCCTTGAACTGTCTGAATGCCACATATAAGTCTGAGATAACTTTCGTGATCTTGGATGAACAAATCTCGTGTTTTAATACTCGATTATTTTGTGGTACGAGGAGACGCTTCGTCATGTCCTCACCGGGTATGCCCTCCATCTGGACGATTACAGATCTTGTCAACAATATCATGAAGAGCGTGAGGCAGGTCGCGCAAATGTTTCTCGACTCGAAAGAACAGGCTGTGGACGAAGATATAGGCAAGGAGCAAACCGACTTGGAAACCGCATTGCAAGAAGGAACGGCTGTGACTACTTATTTCAATTACTACATTCTCGCTCTGGGAATAGAGTTCTCCTCGGGTGATGGTAAGTCGACATCACTGATACCGTTTACAAATCCTGATATCGGTGTACGACAGATGATGCGGTTCGAGAACTTCGCATGGTGTATGCAGCGTTGCCCCAAGATGACGTGGAAGTCAAAGAGCTCCGAAATCAGCAACGTGGTTTCTCCGAATCTCAGAGGCTAGAGTTCATGAAGCGGCTCAAGTCAGAAGTCACGGCAACCAAAACAGCTTTGCAGGAACTTGCAAATCGGAAAGGGTGTTTTGCAATACAAGATCCTTCTCAGTACAGCCTCGACCTGAGAGAAAAAGTGAGAAAACTTTTCCCAATGCACGGCAACAATGCGACATTCTGCGAAGGCGCATCTCATCTGCAGAAACACGCCTCGGCCGCCTTGTCAGCCATCACATCGCGGGAGCCTGGTGGTGGCGGGTACGTTTGCCACCACTGCAACCTGGACCTCAGATGTATGGAGATTGACGAGGCTGGAAGTATCACTTTTACCGAGGCGGAATGGAGGACTCTTGCAGCATGTCACATGCGAGCGCACTTCTCGTTCAAGAACTTGGCTGCCTGGTACAAATGCAGAATCTGTCATGACCTAGGCGTGGAGCCGCCCCTGATTTTCGTCTCGCCCGTTGCAATGATGATACATCTGAAGAACCACTGGAGTGGAGACATAGAGAAAAGCTCTGTTGAGGGAGCAGTTCGTTGAACGTCGCGAGGATGAGCGAGAAAAGATATCTGAGAATGTGTGTGGAGCTTCGGGGATGGTACGGCGAGTTGTGGCTTGGCAAAAGTGGCTGAACGGTCACATGATGATGCCATTACTCCTGAATTCTAATAACTAAGTGCAACTCTTGTTCCAGAGTCATTAGATACTCCGTAGTAGCCATAACGTGACAAGTTGATAATATCATGATATTACACAAAGTTTTTTTTCGGGCTTAGGGCAATAGATAGAGTCGAGAAATAGGGAAAACAGATTGACAGGAGAACAATAAGACCCCGTATCCAGTATTCAACATTAGTATCAAGAGAGCGATGGAGAGAAGCAAAAGAGCTTGCACTTCAATCGTCACTTAAGTGTTGAATTAGAGGAGGGCGAGGGACGGTTTCGGGGATGTTGTGATGGGAAAAACTAAACCCCCTCCCGGGCGGGGGGGTCGATTGGAGCAAGGGTGTCAACGACTTGTAATTGGCTACCTAAGCTCTTCAAAAATCTTAAGTTAGATTTTTTAATATAAGAATAGGCTGGTATATTATAACCCTTGCATTATAACTACATGCTTTATAGCCTATAATAAAAAGATTCCTTAAACTAAAATTTTAATTTAAAGAAGTTTATATACTAATTAATTAGGTTCTAGATTTTGAACCCTATATAGCCCTATAAATTAGGGGCTTATAAGGCTCTTACATTTGGTTTTAGGGACTTTTTCGCTAAATTTCTAGGCTTGTTTAAGCTTATCTTTAGGCTATAAAATATGAAATTTTTAACTGCTTTAATTTAAAGAATTATTACTAATCCAAATTGTATAAAATGATTATATTTAAATACCGCTTAATTATTGCTATAAGAAAATAAAACAAGTATTAAATTAAAGAAAAAGCCAGAGTTTTGGTATTCCTGTTCGAGCGCCTCTACTTTGGGTTAGTAGCTAGTTTGCTCCCAATCGACACCCGGGGGGGGGGGGGGGGGGCGTTTTAGTTTTTCCCATTGTGATGGGTAGGCAGCTATGGAAATCTTCATAATTGCTACCAAGTATTGGACATGAATAATAATTACTTAGAACTACTGCATAGAGAGCCGCGTATGTCTCCTTCAACTCCGCGATACGAGCGATGAGTGGTGCTGCAGAGCGCAGAGAGGGGTCAATTAGGTTAGCCGTTGCGCTGCTTACTGTCGGGCAAACGACTACTCAACAAGCTCCCGATTTGGAAACAGCCACTGATTATCTCCGTTGCGAGAAAGCTACTTCTTTGTGTAGCATCATTTGCTGCGGCGAATAAATTTTCGCTTCGAGGTATATAACTGTTTAAGAAGCGTCGTGGAAGTCTCTCCATGATTAACTTATTCCATCCCTTGGACACTTCGCAAGTCAAGAGAATGCGTTTTGTTATATTTGTTATTTTCTTGTTGGGCGTTGCTTTGGCAGCACCTTCATCCATAGATCCAGGCTACAATTGCAAACCTGGGCAGAAATGTTGGCCATCCTTGCAAGAATGGCAACATTTGAACCACACAATCGATGGCCATTTGTACCAAACCATTCCACTGGGTGCACCTTGCTACGAAAACTCGACATACTATGATGCTGCAGTCTGCTCCGTCGTGGAAAATGATTACAATAACAGTATCCCCCGGGGAGGGTATTATGGCCAGACTTACTGGCCAAACTGGGAAGCTTGTGGCACATCTGGATGTTCTCTTTTATCTTCTAATCCAGAAGTGACATTGTACAGCACTTGCTCTCTTGGTAGACTCGCAACATACTATGTCGATGTTCGCAACACCTCGCATATATCAGCCGCTCTCCAATTTGCGAAGGTTCACAACATCCGCATCAGCGTCAAGAACACTGGCCATGACTTTTTCGGACGCTCAACAGTTCCTAACTCGTTAGCAATATGGACTCACAACTTGAAAAGCCTGGACTTTCACCAAACTTTCACCGCGCACAACTGCCCGTCAGCGAATGCGCAAAACGTCGGTGAAATGGGAGCTGGAGTCATCGCTGGAGATGCCTATCGCTTTTTCAACTCTCACGGTGTGGACATCACGGGTGGATATGAAGAATCCGTCGGGATCGCAGGTGGTTTCGGACAAGGGGGAGGTGTTGGCGATTACACCACCACCTACGGTCTGATGGTGGATAATGCAGTGGAATTTGAAGTCGTTACTGCGGAAGGTCAGGTGAGGACCATCAACGAATGCAACGATCCTGAACTTTTTTGGGCAATGCGAGGCGGAGGCGGAGGTACTTATGCCATCCTCACCAAGTATCGAGTTCAAGTTTATCCATCCGTGCCTGTTCATACATACAACTTCCTGGCAACATTCAAAGACACCACCAATGCTACTCAGCAGCAAGGTCTTCGCGAAGTTCTGACGGCCCATGCAAACAACCAGATCATCTGGTCTTCCCAACTCGTCACTGGACAAGTTGACTACTCTACGAAAGGGGTATCATTTGGCCTGGTCCTACCGTATGCCGATGACGGATCCAGATTGAAACGTGCAACGGCATCTTTCTTTCAAACAGTGAGCAACCTGACTTATGTCAACGTTCTTGAAAATAATTACACTTCCTTTCCGACCTATACCGATTACCTGGCGTTTAGCGCGATCGACGCCAGGGCGACAAAGCCCCCTGGAATCTTTTCTTTACTCGCATCACGACTCATGCCTCGCCATCTATTTAATGCATCTGAGACAGTGGATTCTCTGGTCAGCGCTGTGATTGAGGGGATGGAAAAGGCTAGAAGGTTGCTACCATTGCAACGCACTGGAGCACAGGTGGTCCTCGAAACGCCTCTGAGCACCCCAGACAACAACCAGAAGACATCCGCTCTCCCAGCCTGGAGAGAGGCTATGTGGCATGTGATCCACGTTGGGGAATGGTACGAGCCTCTGGCACCTGCCGCTCTGCAAAAGGCCACTGATGGATTCCTTGAGATGCTGGAACCGCTCAAGAAATTAAGCCCAGGAGGGGGAGCGTACTTCAATGAAGCACATTACGGGGAGCCGGATTGGGAGCAGACTTTTTTCGGTGCCAATTACAACAGGCTGCTGGATATTAAGAACAAGTATGATCCAACTCATATTTTTGACTGTTACAAATGTGTTGGGTGGCGAGGCGAACAAGAGTGAGTGATTCTTCTTTGGTTTATTAACCTGGTTTAGCTAATCCATTGCCAGTCCTTTTTATCCTTGCTATCAGAAATGGTAGACGCCTGGTCTCAACATTTTACTTTCATAAATTCGAGCAGATATAATGAGTCTCTTTCTCCGCCAGAAAGGCCGGCACCTGTACAGAACCTCCGAAAATAAGGTAGCGTGCGAAGAAAATGGGGCTTAGATAAACGTTCGGCATTGCCTGTCAGACAATATTTCTTGAAACAAAAGTACCTGCATTTCAAAAATTACTTAAACGTGTATAAATCCTTTACCATACTTCCTCTTTTACTACCGCACGGCACAGCTTCCATCAGAGACTCGAGATTTCTCGAGTTCCTATAAACCCATGCTTAGGGGCTATTTGGGGGAAGAGGACCTTCAGATGGAAAGGAGTAAAGAAATGTAATATTTGCACTGCAAGAGGGAATACCAACGATAAGTTAGATTTATTAACTAAACCGGGAATTCAGGAGCAAACAATTGAAGTACCTAAGAAGATAAATTCCTACATTAGTCGGACTCTGTCTTGAACGTTCGTGGAGTGGTCCCAAAGGCGATCTCCTGCCTTGTTATTGCTCGCTTAGTTGGCGAGCACCCCTTTCTCTTGCGGGCATCCACACAAGTTGGATTATCGAGATTTCCTGCAGAAGAGAAATGCATACATAGCCATAGCGCTCTGATTGCAGTCCTTACAAGCATTTCTAAATAAGATTAGAAAGTTCGAGAGGACGTTCGCCGTTGGAGATAACGCACGGCTCCGTTAAGACCTGAAGCCGACGTGCAAGCTCAATGTGGTTGGATGAAGCACCTACGGAGGTAGTTCCGCCATCAGTGCGGCAACCTCGTCACTATAGCGCCAATTACGTGTTAAGATTATTAATTGACATATGATTTGTCGGGAAAGAGTTGAGGTCGAACACACTAATACATTTTACTTGCCTCAAACGCGAAGCAGCTTTGATCCTAACTTCGCCATCTCAGAGGGACTGTCTATATCCGTAATGCTGGCTAGGGACGGGACTTAAGGCCCGTTTGGGACGGATTCTACGTTTTGATTGCTAGCAACCAACTCTAGCTTTTAGTACTCGATAATCAGCGCTAGTATTCGTATCAATTAGAAGTGTTTGAGAGATGTAATTACTGAGTATTCGATTTCGGCTCGGGAGGTTTTAGAGTCATCTCCGGCACTATTAACCCTTAAGATTAAATTTACCATTCTTTAGTAACCCCTCTCTATTAGTTTAAGGTATTAAACCTTAATACTTATTCTTTTTATAAAATAAAAGCAATTATATATATAGATTATATTATTATATATTTCTTATTGAAAAAAATAGTCGTGAAATAAATTTCACGAGAAGCGCATACTTATATAATAATTAAATTATAACTAATGTATTACCCCGAAAGAAGGCCTATAAACGTAGCAAAAGCTAGTAATAATTATTGAGTAACTATAAAAGCTGGCGTTGAAGCTGGACCAAACACAGGCATTTCCGCATTGCCAAACGGGCCTTTAGATAGGGTCGGTCCGGCTCAAGCTCAAACGCGGTCAAAAATGCCCTATTTTCCCAACACCACAACTTTTCAGCCACAACCATGATTTATTAGAACGAAATGGCGAAGTTGTAGACTAGTGTTATGCGCATAATTCAATTTTTGATTAAAATCGTGGTTGTTTAGTAATCTAGTTAATACATAGGGAATACTTACGAGCCTGCCGCTCGTAAGTTTGAGCTTTTCAGGCCCGAACTCCCCCGAAGGAACTTTAAACTTTCTCAATTCCCGGGATTCTGTTTCCAAATTAAGATAATAAAGACATTGAGTATATTTTTCGTAGAAAACTTTATTTTATAAGGTTCTATCAAGTTATTCTTGTATAATACTTAATATAATACTATGCTTTTAAAGGAGCAAAACTTAAGCCATAAAACTAGCCTAGAAAGCATAGACTTACGGATGCGGGCTTGTCAGCAGGGGGTTCCCGGAATCCTTTAAGCATAAAAGTTACTTTTTCTCTACTTCCTTTACTTCACAAATTTATCTTTCAACCACCCCGTCCACTTTCTATAATTCTAAATTTATTCTCAATTATTATTAGAGTCTTGAGTATATTTTGTATTAATTATATTTTATATCTTGTGTTGTGGTGGCTGGATGAGGGAGGGGGTAGTGAAATGGGCTGGATTTTGGCTCTTTTTGAGCTGGACCGACTGCAACTCTTCGCCCCCCCCCCTTAATTACTTGTAACAGTGGGTCTACAGAGCACAGAAATTCTACTATACAAAACACCTTGGTCAAGGGGACCCACAATTACAAGTCATTAGGGGAGAACTAGGCTGCACATAAGTTCTGCTGATGGACATGGAGTCTGGGGCAAGCCCGGGCCTGGGGTTCATTAATGCAGGCTTTAGGGAAGTGGAGAACCCGTCGGCAGTGTTTGTTTCATCAAATCACATTCCCCAGATGTTCTCTAAACGGATCATGCAACATGTTTCGATGTAGTTGAGCCGATTGGTTGGGCACCCAATATACTTTCCTAATGTCGCTGGAAGACGCGGCCTCGGCAGTTCATCTGCTTTGCCAAGAACGAGCAATTTGAACCCTTGAGTTTCAAATCGCGAATTTCCAATCGGAGATTTTTTTTTTTGATTTGTCCAGGTTGTGTTCTGTCTAGGAATCCTGTTTGACAATTGTCACAATGCAAAAGGTTAACTCAAATCTTTCCGGGGTGGACCACCGGCTCGCCAGCTGTTCATCCCCGTGGAAAAAGTTTCCAATGCAGCTTTTGCCCTAGAATTCTGCGTGAAAGACGCTGGGTTCTCTGAATGCCAATTGGAACAATTGTTTTTTTTTTTTTTGGACATCTATGCGTGTCACCGTGGAACAAGGAGAGTTTCATTGCCCACCTCGTACCTGCGCCACCAGATCTTGCAAGCCTGCAGGTGTTCGTTCGTATAATATATTATTCAATCGACATCCGCAACTCTCCTTGAACCCACAGCAAACTTTTAGGATCTGGCATCATGCTCGAAGAAAAATTGACCTCTCCGACCCATAGCGAATACATCAGCTCGACTTCTACTTCCACCCGCTCCAAATATGCGTCCCGCGATTTCTCCGGAAGCGTGTTCATCATCTCTTCCGATGGGTGCATGCTCAAGCTCCCCATTCCGACGAGCTCGTCTCGGGATCCTCTGAATTGGAGTAAGATGAAGCGTGCTCGTGCCCTTTTTGCCATCTTTTTCTTTTCCATCACGGGGCTGGTGGTGGTACAAGGTCCAGGTCTTATGTTCGCTCCTTTGTTAGAGGAGTTTTCTGATGAGGTCAGCTACCAGCAATGAAAAATTTGATGATAATCTGATAGTCGATTAGGACACAAGACCGTTCAATCCGACATTGCTCCTTTCTGCTCCAACATTGTTTATGGGGATCGGAGCTTTCCTGTGGATACCGCTCTCATTGGCGATTGGAAGGAGACCAGTGTTCTTGCTCGGCACGATGATTATGTTGCTAGCAACTCTATGGGCTGGTATAGCCGGAAACTTCTACCAACTCTTGATTGCCGTGTGCTTGCAAGGATTAGCTGAGGGAGTGAACACAAGCACGGTAACTGACCTCCAAATCTCTCTTCGGCTAATGGTCCTAACGTTCGAAGGGCCTGCTTATGGCTATTGACCTGACCTTCATCCACCAACGGCCCCAAATAATTGCCATGTTGTGGTGCCTTATAGGCTTCGTCGGCGGTTGCATATATTCACTTGTCCCTCAAATAACCAACACCAGCACTAGTTGGAGATCCTTCTACCTCCTCTGGATTTTCCCCTCTGCAATATCTGTCACACTGGCTTTTTTCTTATTTCCAGAAACATACTTCATTCGACCAGCTGTTGCATTTGACGGACGTATACTCGCCCAAAGCGCAACCGAGAAAGTCCAAATCTATCAGGACTGGGAAGAGGTGCCTGGAGGGAAATCACTTCCTGATATTCCGTACTCATCCCCCTGGGTCAGAGACCTCCAGTTCTGGGGGACAACTCGAGGGGGCTGGAAAGCTATGTGGGCATGCTATCCTCAGATTCTCGGATGTTTCGTCAATCCGTTGATTTTCTGGGTTGCGCTTCTCAACGCCATTGTCTTCGGTAGCATGTTGTCAATTGGAGAGACGTATAATTTCGCCTTGACAGGTCCTCCCTACTTCCTCGATATCCGCTACACCGCACTCGTCAATGCCGCTGGCGCCATCGGGTCTCTCATTGCGTGGCCAGTATCAGGGAAAATGATTGCATGGGTCTCCCGCCGTCTTGCAATGAGCAACGCAGGTGTACGAGACGCAGAACATTACCTTCCAGCATTCATCCTGCCCATCATCGCGGGCACTACCAGCGTGATCATCTACGGTCTTGCTGTCCAGCACAAATGGCACTTCATGTTCATCTATGTCTCATACGGACTCAATACCTTCACATTCTCCAGCTTAGCAACCGCGAATACGCTCTGGGTCACTGAAGCTTTTCCTCGATGGGCAGCACCGGCATTGGTCGTCCTTAGTGGTGTGAGCTACATGGCGAGTTTTGGGATCAGCTTTTCGATCCAACCTTGGGTGGCATCGCAGGGGATCGCCAATACAAATATCGAGATTGGTTCAATGATTGCTGTCGTTGGGCTCGTGCTCATTCCTATTGCATTTTGGGGGAAGAAATTGAGGCAACATATTCATGAGAGGTGGGGGACGAGTGAAATGGGGGCTCTGCGTCCGCAATAATTTCAATCCTAGCTTCTCAAAATATCTATTATTGATAGGAATCAGATAAATCAATTGCATTCTTACTTGATACTCTTTACTTCAATTTAGTTACTAACTATTATTTATTCAACAAAGATTTAAGGATTTCTATTTTCCTCACTAATTCCTTAAAAATAATTTTAATATATTATTAATTTTAGCTTCTAGAGATAGACTTATTATAAAATACTAATTACTTCTTTTAAATATAGAAGAAGTAAGAAGTAATGGTTATAAGAGATATATTAAATAAGAAGAAAAGAAAAATTAGCCTTTCCTTTCTTATTCTTTCTTTTTATTTCTTAGATACTTTAATCCTTATTATTTCTCTTCTACTAATAAGGCTTTATCTTGCTATCCGTTTCGTTCTCAAATAGCCAGAAATGCAAGGCAGCGAGGATGAGACTACTGGAATCGGTTTTGTATCTTTCAAGAATCAGGCCGTGGCTGGCGTTAGCCGAAACACACTTGGCCAAAGGCGCAATGGCCTCTTAACAAAAATTGATGCAGGGAGCGTGCTGTATATGTAACCAGCCAGGGGCCGGGCAAAGATTGCACTACCACAGAACACTTGGCCACCGCTAACACCAGTGTATGAATGAGCTCCTCCAATAATCGTCAAGCTTAATCCTGTAATGCTGCAGTTCCGCATTTGCCTTCAATTGGCCGTCAAGGACTTAGGCTCATGTTCCTGCATTAACTCCTTGATGGCTCTTGGCCAGGGTCCCTAGCGGTCTGCATCTTAGCGGTGGGTGCCCTTCAAAGATTTTGAGTTGAATGGTATATCCATTTCCGGTAGCCAGGGAGCTGGGAAAATGTAATCTGAAGTATCACCACATTGACACCTCGTTTTCTACACTCTCTTCATCCTAAGAGCCTTGACAACCCACAAAAGCAGGCCCGGTCAAGTGGGCAGTTCTGGTCAGCATAATTACTATGGTGATGGGCAGCCGTATAAAGCACCACGCTACAACCGAGAAAGAAGATAAATCTCGTATGGAGCCTTGCGAGGCGGTGTAAACGTCGTCCTTGCGGTTGAAGATTACCTTGTCAACACGCTCAAGGTCCTTACGCAGAATACCAAGAAGCTGCTCGCACCAGATCCCAAACGTCCCAAGAATGATCTCAGGGCGCTCCACGCCGCTCCCCAGACTAGAACCATGTATGAAAGCATTGTAATGTTGCTCCGGGATGTGGTCGAAAGCGTCAGAAAGCAGGGTGGTCGTGAAAAGCGGGATGACCCTAAAAAGTTAGGATGACCCTAAAAAAAGTATGACCCTGAAAAGCAGGATGATCCTGGAGATCTGGGGTGCCCAGCCTAAAAGTAGGGAGGTTTTCAGGCTTGGCAATATTACCTAATTTCGGGTATTGATCCGGATTAATACCAGAATCGTAAGGTATTAATACTATTAATACCGGTATCAATCCTAAGCGAGCTAATCCTAGTATATTTGAGATTCTTGGTGTTTTTAATACTTTGAGAGGACTATTTATATTAAAGGTACTATCTAAAAGATTATAAACCCTCGTACGGCCTCTATAAAGTACAAGTAAGGCTATAAATACCCCTTATTAAGTAATTATACATAATACAGCTGCCCTACCAGTTCTATAAGGGGTCTTTCTTATAGTACTACATTAAGTAAGGCGTCCTCCCTTTCTATAACCACTACTGCTAGCTCCTCTATATTCTCTTCTATATCCTCTAGTACTAATATCTCTATTACTACTCTTACTCTCAGTATCCCCTCCCTATATACAAGTAGTAGTATAGTCCGGCCACTTGTAATTACTATAGCAGTTATTCCATTAACCTATAATCCGGCGGTACTCAGGGAAAATGGTATTATTAAGGCCTGTATGAGTATAAGAATGGCAAGAAGTGGCTATTATATTAGCTTCTCTATACTAAATAAGAATTATATTAATATATAACTGGTACTGAGTTATAACTTGACTAATTATAATATAATTAGGGTTAATAAGAATGTTTTGGCCAGAAAGAGCAAGAGCTTGGTTCTAGAGGTTATTATAATACTTGAATCTAGTTAGCTTAAGCCCTCTTATATAAGAAGAATTACTTATAAATCTAGTTAGCTACTGGCCTATAACCACTATTATCTACTGGCTTTAAAGAAGAGCTTGGCCTATATCAAGAATAAAGGCATTACCTATAAGGTTAATAAAAGAAATAAGTCTAGTAGATTAATAGTTATATGAATAGCTAAGCTTAAGAGACTTACTACTGGTTTGGGTTAGTAGATATAAGAAAGCTAGAAGCAGGTAAGGCAGAAGAATTACTACCAGAAGCAGAATTATTTAATATTATATAAGGTATTAATATTATATAAGAAATCAGGTTATTAGTATTAATATTAATAAAGGAAAGAGGTAAAGGGTAAAGGTAAAGAATTCTTTCTTAAATAGTTAAAATTAGCCTAGAGAAAATTTTTTAGGAAAATTTAGAAATTTAGGAAATTTCTAAAAGAATCTAAAATTATATAAGAGCCTTGAAATATATAATTCTTATTAGTTCCTTCTTTAAACTAGCTAGTTTTAAAAAAGGTATCTAGAATTCTGCTTCTTTTCTAGTACTTTAAATATTCTCTTATCTTAATAATCTCTGCTTCTATTTATATTCTATTTCAGGCTACTATATAATAATCTTTTAAAAAGACTCTCTCTGGCTTATTACTTATTAGTAGAATTGAGAGAATATTAATAGCTATAAATAAGAGCCTAGACTAGTATTACCTCTATATATCTTAATATTACTATATAAAGGCTCTTCTTTTTCTAGAATTATATGAGTTTTATAAGTTATAGTTCTTATATTCATTCTTATTTACTGGCCTAGTAATTATATAAAGAGATAAAGTAATCTTATTAAAGGGATCTATTTTTAATATATCTTAAAAGAGATTATTATACGAGAAAGATATATAGAAAAATAAGAGTATAGCTGCCTCTTCTCTATACTTCTCTTAGAATACCTTTATATTTACTAAAATCGGCTTTACCTACTTCTTTAGCTAATAAACTTTAATATATCTCTTATAATTACTAGAATTTAAGATTAAAATAGTAATATAAATAGAAGAGAGATTAGTCTTAATATAGTACTTATTAAGAATAGTATATACTATATTAAGCCGGCTAAGGAAGTTCTAGCTTTCTTAATCTCTTTTCTTTTTATATTTAACTTATTATATTATATATTAGTAAAGTAAAGAAAGAGAGAAAAGAAGAAAAAAGAAAAAGTATAACTTATAATTTCGGTTTAAATATATTTAATTAATATATCTATTATAAAGAGTATATAATTAATAGATATAGAGTTTCCTTTAGTAAAGAGAGTAGCTTATATAAAGAGGTAAAGAAAGTCTCGAATTATATAAAGCCTTTCCTATTTTTTAAAGCTCAAGATATTATTCTTAAGCTTCTCTTTATAAGCCTGGTAATAGGCCTTAATATAGGACCTTAAGAGTAAGAGAATATTAAATATCTTATACTAGCTATTTTACCTCATATAATTATTTATAGGAACTAGCCTTCCTATAAGCTTAATAAATTATATTATTCTACTAGTAAATCTATAAATATAAACTATAATATTATATTTTTTACTAAGTAGTCCTAAGAGCCTAAACTTAGCTCTTATTACCTTCTTATTTATATATTCTTCTTACTTCTCTTAATTATTATATAACTTAAATACTTCTAATTTTACTATATCTATAAATAAGAAGGCTTGTATTATTAAATTAATAATATAGCTAATATAGCAAATTCGTATTTATACTATATTCTATTTCAAGCTAAACTTTTACTTCTAGTAAAATTAAATAGCCTAATAAAGAGTATTATTAGAAGAGGTATTATTAGCTATAATAGCCCCAAGCTTTTATATAATACTATAGTTCTAAAGAACTAGAAGAAGAACTATAAACTAGTTTTCTCCGGAATAGCTACCTATTTACTTAAAAGTAAAAAGGGCCTTTTATCTCTTTAAGTTATATAAAGTAAAATAGGTATAGATTATTAAGAGAAGGTATTAATTTAGAGAGGTCCAGATATCGAGAGAAATATATATCTATAAAAGTACTAATTAGATAGCCTTTCGTATAATATCCTTATATCTTACCTAAGCCTCCTTAACCTTATTAGAAATTCCAGAGTAAGAGATAGTAATCTTGCCTTTATATACCTGGTTTAGTACTTAGTAAAAAATATAAAACTCTGGCTATTTAATTATAATATATAAGAGATTTCGTATAATAATTAGAGAAATCAGAGCTTCTATAAGAACTATTATATTAAGAGAAGCTTTAAGGATCTCCAAATTAAACTCTTTAGCCTTACTAGTAGCCTTAGCTTGGTAATATAGCTATTTAAGTTATTTCTTTATTACTTCTTGAGTCTTACTTAGAGCCTTCTCTATTATAATTTCAGGGTAGTATTTCTTGATATGTTTTACTATATTTCCTGAGCTTGTACTACCGTATAGTAGCGGAATTTCATCTCATATATAGTAAAGGTAATAAAGAAAGGACTAAATCTTATTTTAGTAGGATTGCCGGCAGTGGGCCCAAGTAGGGGATCGCTTCTTGCTATAGGCTAGATCAGATATAACTGACTCTATTATAAGTGATTATATAAGGGACTCGTCTGGTTCAAGTAAAGAAGACATTTTAAGGATATACTTTGGAGAAAATCGTCGTATGAGGAGGGAAAAGGTAAGGAAGGAGGGGAGTGAGGCATGGCGGGGTAGAAAGGCGGTGAGAGCTCGCTTAGTATTAATACCAATCGATCTAGTATTGATCCCTGTAATACTGACTAATACCGGGTGGTATTGATACGGTATTGATACCTCAGGTATCATTGCCAAGCCTGGAGGTTTTATCTACGCTCTCCTCTCTGGCCACGGAGCTTCGGCCACGTCTGTGTTTTGGAGCTTGAGGATTGCTGCCAACGACTCAAGGGGTGGCACTGCAGACGTTGAGGACCATGCAGTGGTGCCTACCGACGTATTGTACGGGGGACGTTATCTTCGCAACCTCGAAATCGCCGTTCTTCTAAATGCCATAGTCGACGCGGGATTAGCCGTGAAAGTAGTCCTCGAATGTTGTTACTCTGACGGATTTATTACTCGTGGTGACGAGTAGACGTGGGGCATTGAGAAGGTATAACATTTATGCGTCACAGCCCACCATCAATACACCCGACAACATGGAGGAGATCGCATTCCGAGTCAATAAGCCACCCTGCCAGGTTAATTCCGACCTTAAGCTTGAAGAGACTGAATTCCTTGCTCAAGTGCGAGCGCGCGATGTTGGAGTGGAGCGGAAATCAATAGCGATATTTAAGAATCCGCAACACGGCAGCCGCTGGACGGCGGGTGTGGAAGGTTGTCCGGCTGTACTACAGTTTACCTACAGAGGAGCGCTCCGCCGTTTGGTTCAAGGTGGAGGACCAGCTGTAGGATAGGTTCGCACAACTTTGGCGTGCCATTTATGGCAACAAGGCCTGGCGCAACCCTGACAGATGATAACACTGCCACATTCGATATCTCCATTGACGATGCCCACTGCTTCGCAATTATAGGCGAGCTTGGTGAAGTCACAACCATCATGGGCACGGCACTTCCGTCTCTGACTCTTTGTCAATTCCTGGGAATGATCTGTGGCGGACTGTGATCAGGCTCATGCGTATCCTCGTGCACTTAACCCAATACAAAATGTTGAAGGAACTGGCACACACTGATTTGGTGACTGGCAAACTCCCTGAACTTGTCTTGGTCACAGTGAGTACCAAAATCCAAGACCTGGAAGACAAAGCCTCTAGATCCAGTTCCAAATGAGAAGTTGGACAAGACAGAAGGCCTGTACGAGGCGGAGGAGAAACGCTTGTTTCGACTCGCAGTCCGTAACCGCCTTGATAGAAGTGTACTTTGCCATTTCCAACCACTTCGCCGAATTTGCCATCGAAAAGATGCGTCCTCTCGGTCGTCCATACAAGACACTGACGCGGGAAGGCAGTTCGAATCCATCTACGCACGGTGAGGTGGACCTAATGGTGGTGATCGCAGATGAGCTACGATAGGCAATTAATAATGGCTGGAAGGCTCTTGCTGCGTTTAAGATATTTCTCTTTTGAGGCGAGCAACCAAGTGCGTCTGAGCAGTCTCACACTTCCGGCGTTGAACGAACTGGATCTCAGTCAGAGTCACGGCGAGCAGACACCTCACCCGAGGACGCAACCAGCGCCCTCAAAGCTTGAAGGGGTTCTTGGACCTCGTTGGTCAGGACCCAAACCCGGCTAACAAGTGACGGAAAGGGCCATCAACCGGACCCCGAGAAGTAGCCAACTGGGTGGCAGACGAATGCTATCAAAATTCACGTGGCCCCTAGGCCAGAGGCCGTGAGTGAAGGATGCCAGTAAAGTGAAAGTCTCGAGTATTTCCAGCATATCTCCTGATATCGGATGACATGGCAACGTGATGGTATTTTACTTATCTTTCCCACTTTCGGCAAAACTTGGAGACAGTAGCAGGCGACGGTCTACCCACATTTATTGAGAGCTCCAGAGATATTCGCTCGAATATGGGAGAGTTTGAGCAATGAAGTAGCCTCGCAAAGGGCAAGCAGAGGACGGAAATATTCTCCCGTCCATACCTCGGTTCCCTAGAAGCCGTTTGGGTGGTTGGCATAGAGGAATTTGAACTCATCGTCAATGGTATTCAAAGATCTTTTTGCCAACGATGGAAACCTTTGTGATTTTCTACATCTGGTCCATTCCTGGCATACCTTCCGTGCCTCCTATTTTTGCCCAGAACTTGTCAAAGTCCACTCCTTGGGACTCGAACAGTTCTTTAGCTTTCGCCATCGTTTTCTTTTGTTGCTCCGGTCCGAACCCTCCAGGCTGGGACGACTCGAACTGAACCAGCTCGATCCATCGGAAGAAGAGATTCTCTTTCCCCATTGCTGTCAATTCATCTTTGAAAGCCACTATCTTCTTTCTGCCTTCCTCTTCCTTTGCACTCCCTCCAGCACTTGCAGCCTCGAGGACGACCCAGCCAAACTCTTCTGTGGGTACAAGTATGGTCGTTCTGAAATCCTCGAACGATAGAGTTCCCTTGTCCGCGAGTTTCGTAGCGGCAACCATAGCCTTCCAATCGAGATCCCATTCCTTATTCAGCATCAGATACCCCGTCCTCCCACTCATCCATACCGGGTCCACGGCCTTCTTGATAATACTCATAATCTCATCCTGACCAGATCCTTCCTCAACTGGATTTCCAATAGTTTCATCCCACCTCCTACTCCTCCGAACGATAATCTCCTTATCACTAAATCCCACAATGAACCTCCATGTAACCGGGTTCCCAATCTTCCTACCTGCAAAGAAATCCCTCGGCCACGGCCATATGAACACGTACAGAAACAAATCGAACATGAAGACCACTGCTCTTCTGATAATCTCCTGTACCACTTCGTTGAATGGCGTATTCTCCGTGTCGATTGTCATTTCGTTGCGTCTTCCTACCATGGTGAAAAGTATGTTCAGGTAGAAGGGCCAGATCGATCGCATACGCCATACTATTAGCCCAATGATGGTAAGGTTCATGAGAACTGGGACGAGGAAAATTTTGCGCTTGAAATCGGCGGGCTTGAGGTCGAGGTGGGTGATGTAGATGTGCTTTGGGTCGAGCTTGGAGAGGAAAGGAGAGAGACTTTCGGGGGTTCGTTTGAATGGGGCTGGAGGTTCAAGGCTGGCGGTGGAGGAAGGTTTCGAGTTCGAGGTCGTTGTGTTAAAGGTTCGCGCCCTTGCCTTTCCTTTCGGAGGCATTTTGCTCTCCTTGTTGATGTAATGTCGGTGGAGGTTGAGCGTCTATCGTGTAGTTCGCTCCTGCGCATTGTGAAATCTCGGCTTCCGTAGATATCATTCAAAATTTTGGAAATCTCAGATCATGAGCTTTCCATTCACCATCAATTGAATCAACTATGCGAGGTCGCAGTCTACTGAAGGTACACAGTCTTTTGAAGCACTTATGCGACGCAAGCTGATCGTATGCAGGAATCCTCGAGTCCATCCCTGTGCGCCTTTTGTGCTCACAGGTCGGGCCAAGCTCGAAAACCTTCACATGCCCAAAGACGGTTCCTCCAATCCTCCCGCCCTGTTAAGAAGCCGCCTGCGGAAGCTGCTGCTGTTAGAGAAGCGGATAATAATACGGCTTCGGCCCCTAGTTGGGGCCGTCCAGCACCTGTGGGAGGTAATGGGTTAGGTCCAACTGCCACTTGGGGTCGTCCCTTTGGCCCTGGAACTGCACCACTAGGATCTTTCGGGGACTGGGGAAAACCAAATACTGGTCCAAATGGAACTCCTGCCGTATCAGCACAGTCCGGCCATCCACGGATAGTTGACGAACTTTTGCCGCACGAACGGAAAGCACGGGAGATGATTATCGAGAGGAATTTAAAGGCAGGCCAAAGACCGTTAGGGGACAGGATTCGTGGGCTTGGAGCGGAAGCTACACGTGCTGGTAGACCTGTGCCGAAGGGTTCAGCTGAAAGGAAGCAAGCCATGGCAGCCCACGAGAAAGCTAAGGCGTATGGTCAAACTGGGTCAATTCAAGCCGGACCGAAAATAAGAAAAGTTCCTCCAAAGCACATTCTTGGGGATGACTTCAACGAATTGAATTGGATATTAAATTCGAATAAGGCAAATTCCTCTCCTTGGGGCATGTTGCCAAGAAAGACGGACCAAGAACCAGTCGAAGAAGGAAGACCACCCGAAAATGGATTCGAGGTTGGCCGGGCACGGAGAGAGGAACAGGCAAGGTTAGGAGCCTATACACCTTTGGGCAGGAGGTCAATACTCGAGAATAATGCAGGAACGGCTATCTATGGTGAAAGGCGAGCCGCTGGTTCACGAGTGGAGGACAACGAATTTGGTATGCGCGGGAGTTGGACACCTAGGGAGCGGAATACATTTGGAGACCGGAACCCTGCATTTAATCGTCCTTCGAGCCCTGCTGAGAAGCCTGGGTTTGCTCCGGTGTCGAAGCCTGCTGAGGATGATAGGACGCCCGTGAGATTTTCACCCTTGGCACCTGCCCCTGCAGAGCAGCCTGATGAGGCTGCGGCAGGTCCTGCCAAAACTCCTATTTTCACGCCCGAGGAGGAATATAGGCCAGCTCGGGAAAGAAAGGAAAAGAAAGCACATACAAGATATTCCGATCATCAAAGCTACGAGCCGGCACCGAGGGGTAAAGCTAAAGACAAAGCTCGGAGAAGAGAAAGATTCGTCCAGAACGAAGAGGACGAAGCAGCTCTGGAAGAGGCTGAAGCACGTGCTGAGGCCAAGAGACAGCGAAAGAGGGAGAAGGCGGCAAAGAAAAAGTCTGCACCCACTCCGATGCTGTTACCCGAATATATCAGTGTTTCGAATTTGGCTGTTGCGCTGAAAGTTAGACTCGAGGATTTTATCTGCAAGATGGAAGAGCTCGGATTTGAGGAAACCGGTCACGATCACATTTTGAATGCGGAGAACGCTGGGCTCATCGCTATGGAATACAATTTTGAGCCGATAATCGATCGGTCTGAGTCTGAGGATCTCAGGGCGAGAGATCCACCCGCAGATCCATCCATTTTACCTCAGAGACCTCCTGTTGTCACAATCATGGGACACGTTGATCACGGAAAGACTACACTTCTCGATTGGCTACGGAAATCCTCGGTCGCTGCATCTGAACATGGTGGCATTACTCAACACATTGGAGCTTTCTCTGTTCCCATGCCATCTGGCAAAATTATCACTTTCCTCGACACTCCCGGGCACGCAGCTTTCTTGAGTATGCGTCAACGAGGTGCCAATGTGACAGATATCGTCATTTTAGTTGTTGCGGCAGATGACAGTGTCAAGCCTCAAACAATTGAGGCGATCAACCACGCCAAAGCTGCCAAGGTCCCGATCATTGTTGCTATCAACAAAGTTGACAAGGAAGAGGCCAATGTTGATCGTGTCAAGCAAGATCTTGCTCGACATGGAGTTGATGTCGAAGACTTTGGCGGTGATGTTCAAGCTATATGTGTCAGTGGTAAGACTGGTCAAGGCATGGAAGAATTGGAAGAAGCTGCCGTGACTCTATCCGAGATTCTCGATATGCGTGCGGAAACAGATGGTCAGGCCGAAGGCTGGGTTCTCGAAGCAAGCATCAAGTCGATGGGCAAAGTGGCAACCGTACTCGTTAGGCGAGGCACCATGCGTCCTGGAGATTTCGTCGTTGCGGGTAAAACCTGGGCCAGGATCCGTTGTCTGCGAAACGAAGCAGGTGTCGAGATCCACGAAGCTGGGCCAGGAACACCTGTTGAGATCGACGGTTGGCGAGAGCAGCCGCTTGCAGGTGACGAAGTCCTTGAAGCACCGGACGAAAGCAAAGCAAAGAGTGTCGTCCAGTATCGACTTGAAAAGGAAGAGCGAGACAAGATGGCCGAAGACATGGAGGCCATTAACGAGAACCGCAAAGCCGAGCAAGAGAAGCGAGAACGTGAAAAGTCCGAAGCTCTTGCTGCCGCCGAAGCCAAGAAGTTAGAAGAAGAAGGACTCGAAGTTGCTCCAGATCTTAAATATACCAAAGGTATCAAATCCAGCGGTCCAAAAGAAGTCTTCTTCATCATCAAAGGGGACGTCAGTGGTTCTGTGGAAGCAGTCATCGACTCCATCTCCGCACTGGGCAGCAAAGAAGTTCAACCGCACATCCTCCGTGCCGGTGTTGGCCAACTCTCCGAATTCGATATCGAACACGCAGCTGCTGCACAGGGGCATCTGGTCAATTTCAACACTGCAGTCGAACCCAATATCTCGCGTCTTGCTGAAGAAGCCAAGGTCAAGATCATTGATCACAATATCATCTACCGATTAGTCGATGATGTCAAGGCGGAATTAAGCAAGCATCTCCCACCCCTGATCACGCAACGCGTGTTAGGTGAAGCAGAAATTTCTCAGATCTTCTCGATTAATGTCAAGGGACGACAGCATAAGAATATCGCAGGTTGTAAAGTGAGGAATGGGAGCATTGCGAAGACATCTAGGGTCAGGGTGTTGAGGGGTGGAGAGAAGGTGTTTGATGGTATGCTTCTCCTTAATCTTCCAAATATTGAGAAATTCCATACTAATGAGAGTATAGGCTCCCTGGCTTCGCTGAAGAACGTCAAGAAAGATGTACAGGAGATGAAGAAGGGAAGTGAGTGCGGGATGGGCTTCGAAGACTGGTTTGATTTCCATGTTGGTGATCAAATTCAATCTTATGAAGAGAAGTCGGAGAAGAGATACTTGTAATTTCATAGTGTAAGAGGCTGCACGTACAGTATAGATTTTTTGTCCCAGCGAACAGACGACACGGAAGAGGCATACGGTTGTATTAGAAGGATTCAGATGAGATGTTTAGATTCGAGTCTTAATCTTGCGATAGTGTCTATAGATTCCGCTCCGATGCTCCTTTCCTCTCCACCATTTAATTGACTTCCTAAACAACGATATTTTTCGGTTCCCCCTGCATCCAAGCCTCAATATTCCCCGCCACGGTCCCCCTCAACTTCTCAATCGAACTCCTTGCCCACCATGCAATATGCGGACTCAACACTAACCTGCCATTCAACCTCCCCTCCTCTCCCTTCTCTCCCCCTTCTCTATTCCTCACGCCCTCACCCCATTCTCTCCCCTTCTTAACCAGCACACTATTTCCTACCCCCGCCGGTTCCTCAAAAAACACATCGCTTGCCGCACCACCTATCTTCCCTTCTTCTAACGCCCTAATCAACGCTTCTTCGTCTACGATTCCTCCACGCGCGACGTTGATAAGCAGAGCGTCCGGACGCATGAGTGAGAATTCCGGGGTGGAGAGGAGGTTTGTGGTGTTTGGGGTGAGGGGCAGGGTGAGGAAGAGAGTGGTGGATTGTGCGAGGATTTGGTGGAAAGGAACTTTGCCAGGACGAACGGAGGAAGAAGGAGTCTCTTTCCGGTCAGCAAAGTGGACGGTCATTCCTAGGGCGCGGCAGAGGGTTGCTACGCGGGTTCCTGGTCACATTCGTCAGTTGGGTTGCTGAAGCCGTGTCACGTGAATGTCACTTGACTTTCCCCTGTCCTTTCCTGTTCTCCGAAAGGCAAAGAAAGGGAGAAGCAGGGTCTGAAGGAAAGAAAAATATGGGATGAGATCAATGAAAGGAAGAACGAACCTAACTCCCCACGCCCCAAAATCCCGACTACCTCCTCGCGACACGTTCCCGGACATCCACCAAAGTCATTCTTCAAGCTCCACTTCTTAACCCACTCATCGGTGCCGACGGTAAGCTGATGCATACCCACCACATTCCGTCTCAGTGCGAAGAAGAGAGCAAGTGCGTGCTCGGCGACCGACTCGATGGAGGCGGCGGGGACGTTTGTGACCAGGATGTTCCGGCGCGCACAGGCCGGGAGGTCGATGTGATCGGATCCTTGTTTCATCAGCTCTCGCATCCCATTCTGAAGTATCTTGATGAGAGTGGATAAAGGGGGGGAGGGCGGGGAAGAGTTGGGGGCCGGAACTGCGGGGCAAGGGAGAGAGAAAGACGAACCGATGGCCAGAACAGCAACATGCTTCAACCGCGGACATTGCTCCAGTGTTTCTTCTGTGATTGGAATCCGGGTCGTGATTACTACGTCTGCATCTTTTATTCTCTCGACGATGGTGGCTGTGTCGAAGGGCGTGGACGGGTATTCGGTGTATGTGTGTGTGAAGGAGGGAGAGAAGGTTGGGGAGGGGGTGTGGATGCCGTCGAGGCGGACGATGTGTGGGGGCTGTGAGAACTTCATTTCAGGTTAATGTACTCAGACAGAGCAAGGCTGAAAGCGATGTGAAAGTAGAGATGAAGTACTGTTCAGGTTTGAAAATGCATTGGGAGCGGGAAGTAAAGAATGGCTGATTACTAATCGTTGTTGACTGAAAGGCGTGGGTCAGGTGATGTTAGCTGATGTTAGTCTTGAGGTAAACTCTCTCCTTTAGAAAAGAATGACCGAATTCTAATACATTAGTCGTTCCTTAATACTCAGCTTACCGAAGTCAGACTGGTTGCGCCTAAGGTCTGGTTCGGATTATTCGCAGGTTGTCCGAGAAAAAAGGCGGCCGGGTCGTGCTTCTCCGGCGAAGCAGATCTTGATATCCTCTAAGTTCGAATATAGAAGCTTCATTTATTGATTAATTCTGTACAGTATTGTCTGTCTATCTATCTCTAAACTCTATTCAGCAAGCTCATCATAAGTCAATAAACATCAGGGTATCAAACGTCAAATCATTGTCGGAAAAGAAAGAGAGCTCCCTTCGACATCCAAGCATCAATTCATCAGACCATAACCTCCTTCACCACCCTCCTCCTTCAGCCTCTTCCTGACCGCCTTATCCTGTTCCAACTCCTGCCAGACAGTCACCAGATCCTTTCCCCACCACCTACCCAAGACCTCGACCACCACCTCGCAGAAGAACATCACCAGACAAATCAGAACAAACACCGCCCACCACGTCGGGTTCTTGCCAAATTGGGAGGTGAAAGCGTGGTATACGGTGTACGGACCAGGATTTTTATAGTAGATTGCGGAGAGGAAGAAGTTCCAAGCCCACCAGCCCGAGATCGTCAGTGCGGCGCCGAAGAGTGGAATCCATGTTTTGTGGTGGAATTGGAGAATCCTGGGCCAGACGTTAAGCTTCTATACTCCAGAGCAAAGGAAGAAGGGAAAGGGAAACTTACAATAGCTTGACGTTGATAAACACCACGCAAACCGAGAACGCCAAATTCCCAATCGCGAAGAGACTCTGGTCATCCGTGATAGGCACGACGCCGAAGAGGAAGTAAGTCATCCACCAAATAACCTGGCTCTCAAACGCAGCCATCAGCATCCACCACGTATACTTCCACATATCAAACCCCCTACTCTCCTGTCCGTACCCGTACAACTCCGGCACAGCCAATAACGTCTCGGCGCTCAAATCCTGCTCAAAGATCCCCGGCAGCATAACTGGCAAGCTCGTAAACAGCGTATTCCACACCGTCAAGCTGTCACTCTCATACAGACTCGTCCCCGTATATCCGTTCCACCGCTGATACATTATCTGCACCGAGTAGAACAGCATTTCTTTCCAGAATGTCAACAGGATGTACTTTGCGGTGCGGACGTAGTTCCAATGTCCATGCACTAAGAGCAGTCGCTGGAGGAAGCGGAATTGAGCAATGGAATAGTCTGCTACACGAGCGGCTTGAAGACCTTCTTTCCCGGAGATACCAACGCCCACATGCGCTTCTTGGATCATGGCGATGTCGTTCCCGCCGTCGCCGATGGCGAGCGTGATGGACTTTGGGAGCTGGCGCCGGATGTTCTTGACGATGGACGCTTTTTGCGCGGGGGAGGCGCGGCAGCAGATCACGGCGCCAACTACCAATAGAAGCTCATAGAATATCGAAGCTAGGATTTCGTTCTTCTCGATGGAGACGAGGGTTTGGCCGTCGATGACGACGACGGTGTGGTTGGAGGTGCTGACTTCGAGAAGGGTGGATGTTAGCTTCTGCTCCACGTCTCCGGAGGTTTGATCGAGGATCACGACTTGGGAGTAGGGTTTGCAGATTCGCGCTGAGTGCGCGATGTTGATGGCTGTTTCGCGCTTATCCCCTGTCAGCATCCAGATCTTGATGTTGGCTCTTTGTAACTTGTCGATTGTCTCCGGAACGCCTTTTTGAAGCTTGTCTTCGATGGCAGTTGCTCCAGCAAGGTCCAGGTTCTGTTCGATGAGTTCACCAGCTGCCTCGATCCCTTCTTGTCTATTGGTGAGGCTGGTAGTGGCTTCGTGGTAGGTCTTGTGCCAGGAAGCGTATTCTGCTTCGCCGAGAAGACGATAGCCATATACCAGTGTCCGAAGGCCTTCGCATGCGAAGTCGTCAATTTGTTGGCGACACCGCTCTAGTATAGCTGCGTCGTCTAGTGATTGAGCCTCCTCTACCACACGCCGCACAGCGAGTGCGGGATCGGAAGAAGGGGCAGACTTTTCTCGCCAGTATCCTCTAGCGGTGTGCAAGGTCTCGTGAGCTCTTTCAAAGCCGACGGACAATCGAAAACCAAGGTCACTGCTCAATCTGCTCAACTCAGGTCGGCCCATACCAATGCTGAGCCTCTCTAGACTGTTCATTGAATCCTCTTGCATGCTTCTCCTCATCCTCGCAACCCTCCTTTCATCAATAGATTTCCGTTTCCTCCGCTCAGAAGGAGAAGCATCCCTCGCTCTTTTCTCATCCACTTGCAGCCTCGGTAAGACAACTGAGTCTGCACCTTTGCAGAGCAGACATATCCTTCCATCTGCAAATCTAACAATAACTGACATTCGTTTGCGTTTGCTGCTGAATTCTATGACATCTAAGATCTCATACTTCTCGCGAATTTCTGAGTCTGTACCGGAAAGTTGGGTTACCAGGGTTGCAGAGTGGGTGGACCTGTCAACGAGAAGATAGCCTAGGTCTTGGGCTGCTCCCACAAGAGCAGTTTCGTCTGGTGATGTTGCTTGGAATGCAATATCTCCGTTGGCTTGGGTTTCGGGAAAGCAGGTATGGCAGAGCGCCAGCGCGAGGAAGAAGATCTGAGCTTTCGCGGTGAAGGGTGCAGATGGGTGCAACTGCATGTACTGCAAGAGGCCATCCGTGTAGAGCTCCTGGTCCTGGGGAGAAGGCTCGTCAATCTCAATGCGTGGTTGAGTATTCCCGGCCGATTCATTTCCACGACTCGTAGCCTCTTTGCGGTCCTTATGTTGCCATGTAGTACCCGCTATACCCATCTTCCGAAACCGCATAACATTTTCCGTCAAGGTCCCCGTCTTGTCAGAGAAAATATAGCTGACCTGCCCAAGATTCTCAAAAATAGTCTGCGTATTACACACCACGGGTGTGTCAGAGACAGGGTCATACATTTCGATGTCTTGCAGAAGCAGAAATTGAGCGAACTTGATGATCTCCAAGCTGACATAGAGCGCCAGCGGGATCAAGTTATTGAATTCGATTGCGAAAGCAATGAAGATGTCCTCGAGCGGGAGATGAGCGTCATCTAAATACCAAGCACGATTTTCAAAGACTGGGGTCCAGATCTCGTAACCTGCTGTACAGCCGATGGAAAGCAGGATGACGAAGATGGTGAGAAGAATCACCACTCGATTGGTCATGTATTGGATTGCAGGTGCCTTCGTTTGTGGTTTCTTGTTCGCGTTCATGCGGATTTTGCATTCTTCGCCGGTGTTGACAATCATTCCGACAGCTCTTTTCGTATTTCTCAAGGTACTGCCCCGAAAGATGACGTTTTCGAGGGTGAGAGGGAGTGTTGAACCGTCCAGGGAAACTTTACCGTGGAAATCATAGAGATCGAGGTTCGGATCCTCCACAGCAAAGTTAGCACGGCAGCGTGCAAGATCCGTCACTGTCCCACACCGTTTGGCCAGTTCATCCGGGGGCCGACGACATTTGAGGTTTGTTTCTCCGTCCAGGGCCATGGTCTCAATGTATGCAATACCATCCCGGCCATCGGAGTAAAGGAGCACAATATCTGCAGGGAGTTGCTCGTCCCTCTGGATCTCGATGACATCCCCAACTTTGAGATCGATCCATTTGACAGTGGCCCAAGCAGAATTCACGGATTCCGGAGGAGGACTCGCAGTGGAGGACTCCTTGGACCCTGGATACAATTTGGGATCTGAAGTGACGGGCGGCGCTTCAATATCATTTTTCGGTCCAATTCGTCGAGCGATGCTTTTCGACTCCTTCCAGCTCTCTCCGGCAATGCTTGCAAAAGAACGGATGGTTTTCTCCCCTGCAACCGTCCAGCTGGAGCCGCGGAGCACACGTGCAAGCCTCCTATTTTCCACTCTATCCAACCGATACCGACGAAAGTCATCATAGCCTTCTCTCGCAATACTAAAGCTCAAAAAGAACAGCAGAGGCAAGATCGTCGTATAAGTTCCCGTCGTGCTCAAACCAGGTATCAGCTGTAAGATTCCCATGATGAGGAAGTAGAAATTTGCGATCTTGGTGAACTGGAACCAGAGCTGGAGTGGAAGAAAAGTCCAGATGGTATAACGGCTTGAACGGATGATATTGTTGGCGTAGTGCTTGCCGGTCCTCTCGTCGACGAGTGGGGTGGTGCGAGATAGGTCGAGGTCGATGTGACGTCCATCGTTGCTTCGAGGAATCTCTCGCTGTCTGAGAAGCATGTGGCATACATACTTCTTGTACCACTGCTTCATCTGATTTGCGAGTACCTTTGAATTTCGTCGAGCCCAGGACAGATTGTTTGGAAAAGAGGTGTTGTCGTGCCCTCTCCGTTCACTCGAATGCCGGGTTCTTGGGGTCGCAGGAGACAGTACATCCGTCTCGATGTCCACAGCACTGCGGTCGAGGACCATTTTGCCCATCCCCATTTGAGTCAAATCCTTTTCCGACCGTGCCCCCGGCTCCTCTCCAGCCCCGAAGGCATCTCGTTGGTTCTTGGGATCCCGCATGATGGAGGATCATCTGCCCAGGGACAACCCTATTCTCTTCGCGCCGATGTACAGTAACACCCGTCGACAATGTCAGTGACTTCACTCATCTCTTGTCGTTCAACGCGTCCAAGCCCAACTCCATCATGAGTCTCCCGGCGCGTAAGATAATATCAGCTTTGAACCCACCCAGATAACTTGAAGGGATTTCGCGTTCTCGTGTTTCTGCCCCTCAACCTTGATTGTACGAGGTTTGTGGATCACTCGACCAGCCAATGACAATGGACGGAGATTACACGGGGGGCGGTGCACTTGCAGCCGGCTCCGCTGTCGCGAGAAGGCTAGCCTTAAACCGGTCATGAGCGTCGCTCGTGTGGGCCCTTGCATATGTTTTAAGATGAAAGCCGCGCATCACTTGCAGACAATCTGGTTGTAGAGGAAGAATGCGGAGGTGGGAAGAGAAGTTTGCGTCGAGATTTTGTGAAATGCTGGTGATAAAGGGCTTGTGATGACTCAGCAGAGCCCAAAGTGCGGGTAGTTTTCCTTCAATTTTGCACGCAACTTCATCAGGCATCATTCTACTCGTTCATCGCATTCGCACTGCATTCCTGTCAGTGCTGCTCTTGGTCTCATTGATTGCAGTTTTTTGGCCTCGCAGTCAGGGTGTCAAAAATAATAATTAAAGTAATTAATTATATTAAATTGAATTAATGAACTAATTAGTTATAATCTAATTACCGGCCTGTAAGAAGGAATATTTCTAATTATCACGCGAAACTCACATGAAAGTTAAATAAATAAATAAAATTCAGAGAGATAGGTAATATACATGCGGATTGTGTGCTCTGGACGTCACATGATTGTGTCACGTGATTTTGGAACCGAAATCCCCACCACTGTACTTATATAAAGATAAGTAAAGCAAATAAAGGCGGGATACTAGCTATGAAACTTATTATAGTAAGGCGGCGTTTGAATCAGGCTAGAGTAAGCTTTATTTTCACGCCACAACGTCTGCGCCACTCCTACAGTCACGTACAAAGCCACGTGATCAGCCAAACAATTAAATTAACCAATTAACTAAGCACAATTTAATTACGAGAGTTCTGACTTAGTTTGTTTTGATTACCGGCTGATAATTATAATCATAATTAATTAAATTATTTGACATACTGCTCACAATTCACCTTCGCGAGTCTCGGGCTCACTGAACACGAGGCAAGGCTTGTATCAAAGAGGGTAAGAGGGACAACTCCAGATGGGGTATTTTCTTTATTTGTCAGAGCGAGGTAGGTTCAGGTTGGTAGAAAGGTAGCAAGCGTGGCTCTATCCACAAGGTCTCCATTTAACCTCCCAATCCCAAGTGAAGTCTGAAGCCTCACGAGTGTCTGCCGACAAACCAAATAGGGATTTCATGCAACCCCAAGTCTCACTTTGATCTCTACTTTCTCACTTGCCTCTCACTCCCCCTCCTTTCTACCTCTCGAACCCAATATCAATCTGCCTTAAACAAACTGATTCATCCCCTGAAACGAACAAGGAAAAGGGGTTTCATCGAAGCAATTACGACAACCTACCTCATCGTCGCGACTATTAACGCCACACCCACATCAGGCCGGATCGTGAGAAACCCCTTCTAGGGCTTTCGGTCAATTGATGGCAGTGTTTGCTTATCTCCTTGTAGGCTTTTCCACCCCTCTTCGATATCTCATAAATCAACCTTGTTTCTGATACCTTCATCTCCGTCTTCCTTTGATTACGAAGATGCTTGTTTGATTCATAATGATGGATCCTGAGATTTGGATGCTAATCACAACGGTGTACGTCGTCAGCAATGATCTATACGAAGGCGACGGGCATTGAAAGTCGTCCATCTGCAGAGTGCGGGCGAGAATACCAAAATTGCCTTGTGCGGAAAGTCGCACTAATCCCCAATATAATATCCAAAGCTTTCTATAAGAGTTTTATATAATAGAAAAAACAGCACGCTAATCATTTCCAAGCATTTTATAACGATTAAATTTGGGAAGAAATTGCGAGATACTTTTAACCGCGCAGCCCCTGAGCTTCCCAAATCCTCGCTTATTAGCGTATTAAACGGATTTTAATGCCTACCGCCTTCGTAGCGCATTTTAGAAAGGGAATAACTTTGCTACAGTATGCTAGACAATACTACCTGCGGAAGTTGGGGTGGAGGTATTATGACGTATTCTCAGTTCAACAGTGGGAATTACAGTGGGGGGTGAAGAGGATTATAGTGCTGAGCTCAGTGTTTAGTGAATATGAATTGACGGGAAAGGGATGGGGATGGGGAAGGTTCTTGGGAAGGATACTTATTGAGGGTTGGATTGCTGGCACACCTTCCTCGAGATGGACTGCTAATCTTTCTAGCATTATCGATGTCAACCCTGTTCTCTTCACCGCATTGAGGGAATATCCAGAACTTGCTCACGTGCCAGAGGCTGATGACTCAGCGGTACACACCTCGAATTAGGCTCCCGTAAGTTTGATGGGTATAGATTAAAATAAGCGACTTTCGCAAAAACAAGTCCAAACCCTCGGTCGTCTAGTTGGTTTATGGGTATGTGAACACACCTCCGCATCCTCCCCATTTCCAGTGGTTAACATCCCAAATAGCGTCCGGCTGTAATGTTCAGTCTCACCGGAATGGTACGAATTTACAACAACAGAATTGCTCTCAGTCAATTGCTAACAATTGAAAAAGTCGCGCGTTCGACTCGCGCCTGAGGGACATATGTCACACACATCACTAAATTTTTTTGCTCCTCCGTTTTCTTTCCGGTTGAACACTTTTTTCTTCTTTTTTTCCGATTTGACGAACAAACAAGTAGTTCTCGCTAAAATTGAACCCCTAAAAAAAAACGCAGCGCGGTTACGTCAGAACGGCCGTGCCAGCCTTGTCACCCTGCGTTTTATTCAGGGGGAGGAGTATCTATCCTACAAAATTAAGCGATCGCGCCCCGTACAGCGAAAGAGCTCAGCTGTACTTGGGGGTAAGATATTCAGCTGAGGGGGGGGAGGGGGGTCATGTGATCTAGGGACCTTAGGGGGACTACAATGCCTATTAATACAGGCTACGTACCACTGTAGAACAGTAGTCAATTCAGTACGATTAAGACCCCATCTGTTGCTATATTAGTCGTAATTTATAACATTCGGAATTCAGAGTGATAATCACGTTATCCACCCTCCTTTTCAACCGTATGGATCTGCAAAAACGAGACCACGCCTCCACATAACGAATACCGATGTCGATGCTTAGGGCACAATTTTCAAACGGAAGTTCCTGATCGACTCGCTTATCAGACAGCCTCTTAGAATTTCTCGGTCCACCTTTATGAAGTGCAGCGTTGGAAAAAGAAACTGGGAAGCATAATGGTGGACGGAGTAAAAGATACTTTCGCTTTTAAGGATTTGGATATGTGACTTGAAAGAGATAACTCCCTGTATCTGTTTAGAGGGTGTATCTTGTTTATAGAGTAGTTATGTTTAGTTAGGTTACGAAGCCGGGGTAGATTTGGAGTCGGCTGGGGTATAGCGCGGAGGAGGTTGTTGCATTTTGAACTGGGATGGCCTAAGATAAAGCTGGAATGTTAGTAAACTTAGTAGGAATGGGAGGGGGGGAGGGGGACAGGGAACGGGCAACAGAACTTCCTTTGGTTCAAAATTCTGGAGTAGAGCTTTGACCCTCTCCTTCAATATATGCGCAGCCTCGCCTTCAGGAATCTCCCCCACATCAGCATTCGTTTCTTCTCAAAAGCGACGCTAAAGGTGTTCAGCTGATTGCCGCAATCCTCCATGCTCATCGCCACAATTTGACGTGTATCGATGCTACTGGCTGTCTAAATGTTGCATAACAATTGGGGCTGAAAACGAGGCTTTTTGAGAATTCGGGCGCCAAGAGCGTCAATGCTACTGGCTGTCCAAACTTTGCGTAACACTTTCAGCTGAAAAGACGACTTTTTAAATATCACTGAGCCAAAATTGTCAGAGCTTCAATTTCTTCCATTAAAACTTTCGGTTGAAAATCCAAATGCGCCATATCGGAACTAAAGGCTTGTAGTCTGCAGACAGCACAAAAAGCCATTATAGGCCGCCGAGATGGGATCTTCCGACAAAGGACTGAATTGCACCCCGAATTGGGAATTTGAACCTAATGGGGACATCGTTGGAATTGGAGTAAGGTCATCTCTAAAAGCATGCAAAAGATACCGAAATCAAAGCTAATTGAGGAATACTTCACTAGGTTCTTGTGGCGTTCTTTGCTACAGCTGCGGCCACCGTGGGTGCAATCCTTTTTGGCTACTTCACCGAGTCATTCCCCGACTCGTACTTCAACGACCTGGATCGATATGTAATTAAGCACTACAAAAAGTCGACTGTCTCCCGATTGATCTCGTGGCTCCTTACAGGGTTGGGTGCCCTCAAGGATGGACTAAAATCATGCTTGGGATTCAAAGTGGAGCCTCCTCGCAGCTTACCTCGACAGAAACGGCAAGAAGCATTGTCTCGATTCATTCTCACATTGAGTGACCAGCAACTGGTGACTGGACTTGCAACTATGGTTGGCGTTGTTGCAAATCAACGAATTCTTTCTTTATACGAGTTTTCCGTTGCGCTGAGTCTGGCTTGGTTCTCTTCCACAACTCATCTCGCAACGCTGGATGCCCTGGCACAATACTTCCGGGAACATGGAACTGTCAGAAACTGGCGGGTGGGTGGCATGTTGAGCCTCTTGAGCCTTTTGAGTTACTGTCTCTTCCTGGAGATGTATGCCCAGACGGTACTGGAGTTACCGGTTCCTATCCAGTGTTCCTTCACACAAAAGGCAAATTCACCAGCATACGTATACCAGAGTGCTATCTACATTATGTCAATAGTCTCGACTGCCCTGACTTTCTACGTACTTTGGGGTGGTTATATACTTCGGATTGGGAAATTGTACGATAGCACTCTGGCTGAAAAGGCAATCATTTCCTACGCACAACTCTTGCTTCCGAAATCGTTCATGCTCAAGAATGGGATCCGACGCGACCATTCCGAGGTAGTCGCCGAACTGAGGTCCTCAAAACGGTTAGACTCTCTCCAGCGAATTATGAAAGCAACAAAAAAATCAAAATGGCACGCAAAGTTACTTAGCAGCTCATATCAATACAACACTTCTTTCCTTTCATCTATGTCAGGCATAGCTTTCAGCTTTTCGTACGGAATCAGTCAGGTAGTTGCATATCGATGGCTTAATGAAGGTGTATCTATTGGTATTCCATCTACCATCGACTTTGGCCAAATCACGCCAATTTTTCTTCTTGTACTTCCAATTCTCGTTGCCGCTGAGATATATTACGGTACGACTTCATCCTCACTACCTTCTGGGTGAACAGAGTAGGCTAATGATCAACAGAATCAATTGGTGATACGGGAGCACCGCCAGATGTCGTTACACCTTCAGCCATTACAAATGAAGCTCAAAAATACGAGGACCTTATTCCTGCTATGAAGGAATACCTGTACAGGGAAATCGAAGAAATACGGCGACAAGAGGCTTCAGCAACCACAGCACCAGAACTTGCCAGCGTTGTTCTACGGAAAAGGCAACTCCTATCGGACTTCGAGCAGTTCCGAGCATTCGAGGAAAATCTTGATCGTTCTTTTGCTGTGATAAGAGTGACCTTCGAGCTCTTCACATCCACGCTATTAGGTGTTACACTCAACGTCAACTCCGTAGAAGCAAATGTAGTTGCCTATCTGTTCTTTTTCGTTTGGTGTTCAATTCCGATTGTAGGAACATACTACAACATGGTACGATATCGCACGGAAATAAAGAAGGTCATCTCGTATCAAGCTGCAGAAGAAGGCGGTGGAGCTGTTGCAGCCGAGAAAGAAGTTGGGGATGATAAGAAATAATCTGAGACTATCAGTATCGCTCTCAGAGATAGTTCAAATGTTCTTGAGGAACATCCAAGCAGTTGAAAGTCGCGTGTAGGCAGGGAAAGATGCTCTTTTTTGTTGTATCTCGTCGCAGGCAAGAATAATTTGCAGGGTTGAACGGTGGCAGAGGTTTCAGAATGGAAGCTGGACATGTAAGACACCTGGATTGGGTTTTTGGGGCTTAAATGGAAATGTTTACCAGTCACTCTATGTTCTGTTTTCTTACTTTGAAAAGGAGTCTGTTAATGATTGGGGCTAAAGGCGTGGCATCAGGAGATATAAAGAGCCGATACCGAATCGATGCCCCCTCCAAATTTCGGACTTTTATTTTCTCCCTTTCTTAATATAAATATATAAGTTTTTCTTTTACTTATAATTATTAAACAAGGAGATCTAACGGTTTTAATAATAGTAATTATAAGAGCGAGAGAGTAATATTTATTTAAATAATTGTGAAGCACCTAATAGTAGGGTGCTATGCAAGTAGCCAAGGTAAGGGTGAAATATAAGGTAAGGTATGGAGTGAAGCGTGCAAGCGTAACTGATTCCAAGAACTAGCTTTTGCAAAATACTAATTAATACCCATTTTTAAAGCTCTATATGCCTCTCTATATACTACCTAATATTCTGCTAGATATATAGAAGCATTAATTCCAATTAGGAAATGCGATGCCGTATAAGTACTAGCCTAATTAGACTACTAAATCCAGCTTAATATTTGCTATTATATATATATTATAGTAATTACTATAAATCTAATAAGAATTATTTTAAAACTTATTTCTATATATATATTATTTTTATTTTTATTTTCTTTATAAATATTCTTATATTAAATATATTAAATATATATTTATTTATTTAGTAAAAGAAAATACAGTTTTATAAAAGGTAAATATATTATTTAATTAGTTAATAAATTAAATTAAATTACATATATTTTAAATTTAATATATATTAATTTATTAATTATATAAATAGATTTCAAATATAAAATTAAAATTAGTATAAATTGAAATATTTAAGCTATAGAAAATAGAGATTAATAAAGAGTTTATATATTTTTATAACTAAACTAATTAGTTAGAAAACTAATTCTAGAAGTTCTAAGTTTTATATAATATAGATATGTTTTTCTTTTTTTATAATAAAGATATTTATATATATATTTATATTAATACTAATATATATAAAATACTAATATATATAAAATACTAATATATATAAAATACTAATATATATAAAATACTAATATATATGAAATACTAATATATTAAATTAATAAAATAATTAATATTTAGAAATAAGAATTATAATATTATAATATTAATATATAATTCCTAAATTTATTAAGTCTAATAAAATCTAATTTATTAATTAAGTTATTTATAAAATATAAGATTATATAACTATATTCTATTATTTATATTTTATTATTTTCTAGATTATATAATTATATATATAATATAACTATATTATTAAAGGAAATATATTTAGAATATTGAGCCTTTTATAAGCTAGTATATTATAAAATATATATACTTTCTTATAACTTTTTATATTTTACTTTTCTTTTCTTAGCTTTAAATTATTTTTATTTTTTTATTTTTTATTATTATATATATTATTTTTTTAGCTTTATTTCTATATTTAAAAAAAGAAAAATTCGAATATATATAATATATTTAAAAGAAATTCATATACTTTTAAAAACTTTTAATTTTATAATTTATAATTATTATATTAATATTATTTATATAGTTTTTTTTAAAAATAATAAAATAATTAAAAAACAAATTCCTTAAACTAATAATATATAATAACTAGTTCTTATAAACTATAATATTATTTAATATTTATAAATTAATAATATTAAAATATTAAAAGAGCTTAAATAATTATAAAAAGCTTATTAATATTAGAAAAAGTAATTATAATTACTAAATTTAATATAAGTATTTTAAATAAACTAAATAATATATAAGATAAGTTCTCGAAATAAAAAATTCTAATTAAGAACAAATCTAAACTAGAATTATTTAATAAGAAACTAAAGAATTATAAAGCGAATAATAAAGAATTCGAGAATATTATTATATATTTATAAAATACTATTTATATAAGTTAATAAAGTAATTATTATTTAGAAATAAGAATTATAATATTATAGTATTAATATATAATTACTAAATTTACTAAATCTAATAAGAACTAGCTACTAGTCGAGTTATTTATATAATATAAGATTATATAATTATTACTTATATTTTATTATTTCTAATTACCTTTATATTATATAACTATATTATATAACTATTAATAATTATAGCTATACTAATATTAGAACTTTTCTAAAAAAAAATACGAAAAATAATATTTGTCTTTAATTATATACTAATTTCCTAATCCGGCCTAGTACTAGGTTTTCCTAAATGCTTTATATATCTATATTATTTTTAAGGTTTTTGGTTATATATTAAAAGCTATAGCCTTTTATATATAACTTTTTCTTCTATAATATTCTCTTATTTTATATATCTATTTTCTATTCTATTTATATTTAATTTATTTTTCTATATTTAACTATATTATATTCGTATTAATTAGGTATTTAAAGGTATTTAATAGCTTTAATTTTGTTATAGAATTAGTAGGATTTAATTCTTTCTTAATTTATTTAATTTTTATAATCTCTTATTATTTATATATTTAATAAAAAAATATTATATTAATTATTAGGTATTTCTCTTAAATAATATCTAATATAATAATTTCGAATTCGAATAAACTTTTAGTAATAGTTCTATTTCTAGTATTCTATTTATTATAGATTTAACTAAAGTATTTATATTAAAGCTATAAGCTATATTATAAAGTTTTAAAGCTAAAATACTTCTAATAACTCTTTTTTATTTAGTAGAAAACTAGTAAATAATATTAGTATATCTAGTTTTATTTACTAGAACTAAAATATATCCGATTTAGGAAAAGAGATCTTTATTATTTATAAATAAAGTATTTATAAAAATAATTAAATATAAGAATTTTTTTACTAGCTTTTTAAATCTTAGTTTTCTAGTAGTATTCTTAATTTACTATTAAATATATTTATTAAGTGTTTTTATATTAGTTTCCGAGGATTTAATAGCTTAAATAGTAATTAATAAATTATATAAAGCTTCTAATTAATAGACTAATATAATATATACTTTTCTAGTATATTAGATAATATATTAGTTCTTAATAAAAAGATTTTAATAAATAGTACTTCTATTACTTATAATAATAGTATTTTTTTTATAGAAATAATCTAGAGATTTTTATACTAGTATTTCTATATAAGAGTAATTCCGGTAGTATTTATATAAATAATATCTTTATTAAACTTGAGATTATAATTAAAAATGAGATATTTATATTTCTTAGCTAAAAACTTGGCTTTTTAAAACTTTAATTATTTTATATTTATAAAATTATTAGTACTAATAAATAAGATATTATTAGTTTAAAGGCTAATAATTCTAAAGAATTATTTATTATAAAAGAAGTAAGAATTATAAGTTTATTATTTTATAGAAAGTTTATTAATATAATAGAAATAATAAGTTTTAAACTAGTAATTTCTAGCTTCTAATATATTATATAATAGTTTTATAATCTTTAAAATAGAATTATTTTTTAGATTTAGCTTTCTAATAAACTTATAAAATAAGTTAATATAGAAATTATAATTAAATAAGGTTATTAATTAAATATAAGCTTATAAGATATTATATAAATATAATTCCGTAATATCTATTATTATTATAATAATAATACTAAAAATAATTTTTTAGCTAATATACTAAATAATAAATAATTATATTAATATTATATATTTCTTATTATTATAAGTTTAGATAACTAGTCTCGATTTTTTAAGCTTTCTTTTTATATTTTTACTCTTAATCTTATTAATAAACCGGAAATTAAAAATATATATCTGTTTTAGTATTTAAAATCTAGAAATAATCTCAAATATATTCTTTTCTAAAAGGCTAGTAATTTTAACTTGGCAGAAATCCTTATATAGTTTATTATTTTATAGAAATATTATAATATCCGGGGTTTTATAAAAGCATTCTCTATTATACTTTAATAAAATAGCGGGAATAATAAAAGAAATTATACCTATATTACTTTTAGCTTTATTATAAGATTCGAGAATAGATTTAGATTTAAGGCTATTAGTAATAACCTTAATATTCCTTATATAAAAGGGTTTTATAGAAGTTAAATAAAAGGTAATATTACTATATAATAAAGCTAGTATATAGTTCTTTTTATTAATAGCTATTAGCTTATATAATTTTTTCTAATTATTAGATTAACTAGTATTTCTTTTATATTAAATAAAAATATTTAAATTTAGAAATAGTTTATAAATATTAGTAATATTAGAACTATTTCGAGTATTTAAAGTATTTATAATTTAATATTAAGCTTAAAGCTTTTAAATTTTTACTATTACTTTTTAATTACTATTAATTACTATAATATAATAAATAATAAGATATTATATTTAGTTATTTAAAATAAAGTACTATAAATTAAAAAAATTAGAATAATACTATTAGGTTTTATAGAATTATTAATAGTTTTAAAAGTTATTTAGAATATAGTATTCTTATTAATTCTATTAATTTTAGCTATAATAATAAAGTAAATATATTAGATCGGACTATAATAGTATTTTATAATTCTAATAGAATTATAAGCTTTTATAGAAATAATTTTAATTTTAATTCCAATAATATTTATAAACTAAATAAACTTCTTATTAGTAAACTACTTTCCGGTATTTACTATAATCTAATTAGGAAAATCTAAATAATTATTAATTTAGTATTATTTAAATATATCCTAGATATATATTATATTAATATTCTAGAGCTATTAGCTAGCTTAATATTAAGTGCCTTTATTAATAATATAAA